CCTAAATACCTCTAAGCATTTACAATAAATCCAATGGATGGGAAGTGCATACTCCTTTTTGTCTAAATGAATTCCTCTGAGTGTTTGCATAAAGTTCCACTCCCATTCTACATGATTTTTTTTGTCTGTTTTTAATGTCGACAATGTAAAATGAAAATAACATCGGTCAAAGTTGGATAGAGCATGATCATTCCATTACAGTTGCTTCATCAATTGGCTTAGATGAGAACATCCAAATATCTCTTATTTTGACTGTTAAGGAGACAGAGAAAGAATCCAAATGTTTATTCAAGTCGGGAGACGAATAACAAGCGAGAGATAGAGGGAGGGAGGGAGAGAGAGAGAGAGAGAGAGTACCTTTCGGGCGTAGATGTCGGCCAGGGTAGCCCCCCATCCGCCATTAGCGAAGCTGAACTGCACTATCGACGACCCAAACAACACAATCTGTGGACGACAAGGTCCCAACATCCTCTCTCTCGCTCTCTTACCTCACTGACAGAGTATTCCTCTCTCTTCCCCTCACTCTCTTCCCCACCGACTGATTCTCTCTCTCTCTCTCTCTCTTGCAGAGAGTATTTGGGTTGTGGATGGTTTGATGCCTCGGGAACATCGTGTTTTACAATGCTTGCAGCTACCTCCCGCATGAAACTCTGATTTAGGATTTTTTTTTAATTACAGTTTTTATTATTTAATTTTTTTTTCACTAATTTATGCTAATTTAAAACACCTCCACATTTAAACTATTTCCACAATTTTTTCGATTACGACATCTACTGATAATTTTCCTTATATTATTATTATAGATATTCTTTGCTTTTAATATAACTAATTCAAGAGGCCCCTAAGGTATATTAAACAAATTTTAAAAGTACAATTTGTTACTACAACTATAACTAATACCATTTTAAAATAAAAGATCTTTTTAATTTTCAGATTTGAAATTCAAGGAAGAATTACAAATTTTAGAGTACAGTTTGTTACTACAACTATAACTAATACCATTTTAAAATAAATTATCTTTTAACTTTCAGATTCGAAATTCTAGGAAGAATTAGAAATTTTAAAGTACAGTTTGTTACTACAACTATAACTAATACCATTTTAAAATAAATTATCTTTTTAACTTTCAGATTCGAAATTCAAAGAAGAATTACAAATTTTAAAGTACAGCTTGAAACAACAACTAGAACTAATACCATTTTAAAATAAATGATCTTTTTAGCTTTCAGATTCGAAATTCAAGGAAGAATTTGGAATTTGTGTATTTCCACATTTGTTTTTATGGGGAATCGAATGAAATAAATGGATGAAAAATAGGCAAACACAGAAGAAAGGCAAACAGGGAATTAAAGAGGGTAGTTGGACTACCCACTCCATCCCTCTCTCTCTCTTTAATTTTCTTAACGTGTACATAAAGACTATATGATACGTGACAAAATAATAAATAAATAAATAAATAAATAAAAAGGTTTATCTAGATTTACAAGATCACGTGAATAAAGGAAACTTCTCCATCTTTATGCATTCCGTTAGGTTTTTTAAAAATAAATTCTATCCCCTTATTTTAAAAAATAGAACTTCCCATCCTTGAACAAACTTTATAAAATGCGATATAACATTTTTCTGGTAAGTAAAATGCTATAGTTAATTTTTATGTTGTATAACATGGGTTAGTTTTTTTTAAAATATCTATATAGATTATATTTTTAAATTTCATTTATCCGTAAACCTAAAGTTTTAAAACTTATCTAACAGCGCGAAAATTCTATCTATTATATCTTCAAACCCCAATACCAACTTTATCCTATTTTTGGCCCAAATTTTTTTACAAAAGGATCATTTTTAAAGCCCCTATTTTTACGTATTTCTCTTTATCTCTCTAACCCCTTCCCTCTCTCCCGTGTCTCTCTCCCTGTTCCCCAACTCTCTCTCTCCCCATGAGAAAAGCACCTGAAGATAAAGAAAGAAGAGAGAAAGCTAGATTTTTTTTAAAGAAGTATTTTTCAATCTTATTTGAGCTAAAAAGTTAAGATAAAATGAGTAAACATAATTTAGAGGTTAGAAGATATAAAAGATGAATCTATATGCAGTAAGATAGGTTTAGAAAGTTTACGTCTATCGAGAAATTAAATTTAAAAATTGGGTCTATTGAGATATTTTTCTAGTTTTTATGACGTATAGTATGGGTTAAGTGATCTAAATTTCTTTAAAAAATAAAATACCAATTTAAATAAGGGTTTATACAGTAGAAATTTAAGAGGTATCTAACCGTGATCTGGATCAAAGGCCACAAGGTTTTAAAAGGAACGTCTAGAAGCATAAGAAGAGAGAGGGAGATGGGGAACAAATCGATGATTGTCTTCAACATCCTAAAAGCGTTAAGCGCAAACGACTGGTGCTTGATGCACATGCAAAACTACTTAAATTCTTTTATTAAAAAATACCTACTCCCCCTCTCTCTGTCTATAGAAACACCAATGGTGCATGATGGACATGCAAAAACTCTTTTATTAAAAAACACCTACTCCCCTCTCTCTATTCAAACACCATAATCATTTATATCTTTGAGAGAAATAAATGGGTTGGGTCGTTGTGGTAGCTTAGTCACCCGCTCTCATTGACACTGCTCCGCTATCATTTTCAAAACGATAAACTCTTAAACTATTTGAAAAAATAAATAGGGATTTATTTTTCTACTGAATCACCAAGAAAAAAAAGAAGAAACTCGCTTTGTGGAAATTGAAACTCTTGTCTAAAATCTACAGGCTCTTATTTCTATATTAACTCATAAAACCAAATGACAATAAATCGTCAAAACTTTTCTGCATTTTCAGCAAACGAACTGCTACGATGTTAAAGAGTAAAGAGCTTAAACCCATCAAACCGTAAGGTTACCCATCCATCTCTCCACCGTCCCATAAATGATAGCAATAATGTCAATCAAATGGGGTGGGCCTCTCATTGCTCAGCTCTCTCTCAACTTTCACCGAACTCCATCCTATCATCTTTACTCTCGGGAAAAAGGCTAGGTTCACGGTACCCACCAACACACCTTTACTCTCGGGAAAGGGGCTAGGTTCACGGTGCCCACCAACACATTGTTTACACCACCTCATTAATATTTTAAAAATAAAAAATAAAAAAATAACTCCTAAAATTATTTATAAAAAACAAGTAGGGCATGTCTTCGCTACTGAATTACCAAAAACAAAAACTCTCAATCTCTCTGACCATTTTATTTGAACGAAGAGACCCAAGAACCATAGCTTATAGGGACTGGAAGCATCAAAAGGTTGTTATTTTTAATACATTTTCTCTATGCAACTGAACTTTGGGATACTTGTGGACATTGTTTACTTCATGAGCAGTTGTAGGAACAACATGCACGCATACCAAATATGATTTTATGATTGATTTTGTATTTACTTCCTAATTAAAAGATTAAAATGTAGATCATTTACTTTTGATGCAATGAGGTTACAATCATTGTTGACTATTTGATGTGAAATTAAGTATTTGAGAACAAAATCCTAAATAAAATTTCTCAATATTGTAAGGCACCTCAATTTATTGGATTTCACATCTAATAGCTAAAAATGATTGTGACATCAATGTACCAAAAGTAAATAATCTCGTAATACTTAAGTCCTTAAAAGATAGCTGCTACGATTAACCACGATAAGAGAGACATACAGAAGATGCACGTACAAAGCTAAAAACACTTTTGACATCATTTGCGCCAGTGTTTGAAAACTCGTCGAGTTGAACCGGACTCGCCCGGTTCGACTCGGGAATCGTCTGCTACCGAGCCGATTCCACAAAAAAACCAGGAATCGCCCGTGTCCAGAGAGAACCGGGCGATTCCGAATAGTGAACAGCGAGTCTCAACGAAAAAACCTATCTTTTTTGGATTTACACGTGACAACCTCACATTTGTGACACGTGGCCACCTCACGAGAGTGACATGTGGCCACTTGTGGTAACTCACCTCACGTTTGCCTCCCTCGCATTTTTACACGCGTAAGTGAGTGCCAATGACACATGACTTTATAGAGAACCAAGCAACATTTATCCTTCGATGTGGGATAGTTCCCACAAAAAATCATTAAAGCAAGATGATAAAATATATATTATTATAGACGTTACTAGAATCACATGTAGCGACGTGGCCGTGTTGGTTGACAACACCAATTTTGCGGTGAATGTCTTGAGTTCGAACCCCATAGCGAACACCAAAAAATATTTTGAGTTTGAACCCCTTAGCGCACAACTAAATTCTTTTTTTTTTCAGTTCGAACCCCTTAGCGCACAACAAAAAAATACAAAAAGAAATTTCTTGTTAAAAAAAATAAACAAAAGCAGAAAATACTGTTGTAAAAAAATAGAAAAAATATAAAATAAAAAGCTTGTCAAGATAAAGATAAAAAAAGGTAATACAACGTTTTTTTATTTTTCTTGTAAAACAAATACAATTTGTTGTCAAAAAAATAAATAAAGGCAGAAAATATTGTTGTTAAAAAATAGAAAAAAATATAAAATAAAAGGTTTTTCAAGATAAAGATAAAAAAGATAATACAATAATTTTTTATTTTTCTTGTAAAAAAAATACAAAGTGATATAACAACTATTTATTGCAAAAAATATAAAACAAAAGGCATAAAAAAATAAAATGTACTTTGGCAGCATCATTTTTTTATTTTTCTTGTAAAAAAAATAAAAAGTAATACAACAAGCAAAAAAAAATGTAGTACAACATCTTCTTCTTTTGTCAAAAAAAAAAAACAAAGATAATCAACAAGTATCATATTTTTTTTGTAAAAAAAAATAAAAGATAACACAATAAGTATTTCTTGTCAAAAAAATAAAAGGTATTTCTTCATACAACCTAAGAATAAATGGTCTAATTATATTTTTTATTTTTATAACATGATGGTCTTTAACATAAATTTAGTAATATTAATTTAAAGATAAGATTCATACAATGAGGCCATTTGAAATCTCTCTCTTTCTACTAATAATCTCTTCCACTAATTTATTCTAAAAACCTTAAAAATTAAAAAAAATTAATACGCATTATAATAATTTCTACATTGATAACCACATTTTTTATTTTATTTATTAATTTTTGTATTATAAATCATGTAGTGTATTATTTTTCTTACAGTTGTCAATAATACATTTTAAATTAAATGATATTATAAAATATTTTGAATTTATTATTATTTATATAATAAAATAATTATAAAATATTACTGGTATATAATATTATAGTTAGTTAAGTTGTAATAATTTGGGTTTTTTTGCTGGATTAGGGTTTTCCGCCAATTCGATATTTTAGTGGCCAATTTTTCATCGATTTAGTCAACTCTTTATTATAGTCCATATATGATTATATAATTAATCCATGATAATTCTATGATTTTTTTTGTGTGATGTAAATTTAATGGTCAACATAAGTTCATACAAGAAAGAACATCTCAATATTCATAAATTGATGAAAACAATGAAAGTTAATAATGTAGTACCCTCATTTCTTATTTGATTCATAAAAAACAACATTTATAATGAATTTTAATAATTTTTTTGAATTTTTTTAAGGCTTAATCAGAGCGATTCGGCCCAATTCCCGATCCGGATCGTCGATTTGTCGATCCAGATCGATTTTTAAGATGCCCGATCCGAGTCACCGATTCATTTTTTAAACCACTTATTTGCACAAATAAATATAGAAGAAACTATGATCACGAAAATACCCACCTCAAACACCCATTGTTTTTTTTTTTTTCCTGGGCAATGACCATAGAGCTATTATTAACTCAGGTATTCAGCCCATATGCCATTGTCAATGTCAATGCAAGCCTCAAGACCTCTCTCTCTCTCTCTCTCTCTAGAGAAACTTGAAAGCTTTCGTCTTCCTTTGGCTCACCATTCTCTCTTGAGGTTGCCAACAAGCTCCATTCCCTGAGATGGAGGATTGAATGGGCCATTTTGTCTGCCACTAATGTCTAGAGCAACTTCAGCAAGTACTGCTCGGAACTCTTCAAAACCAACTGACTTACCAAAATCAGTAACCCCTTCTTTCCTTTTGCAGCCATTGATGCACCTCGCACTTCTCTTCTCTATCTCATCCTTCACTCTCTGCAATTCCTCATACAAAAATTGATTGTCAAAAAACTTCCTCATACAACTCAGAGATATTACTGCTGAAACTGATCCAAATATGTTCATTATCATTGGAACAACCAAACACTCAACTCCAAGCCCGATTTCTAAGTTTTATGCCAATAATTGAAAGTGTTATAGAACACAGCAAAGCAAGCATGCATGAATCACAGAAGATATGTTAGCCAATTGTTTCACTTTTCCGATTTTCTAACTACACAGAGTTCATTGAAAAGACTCTTCTGCAAAGTGAGATTTATTTTGGTGGGGGGGGGGCGGGGGGTGAGAGATGGATAACTAAATCAAAACTGAAACTTAACATGAATGCCACATAAAACATAAGATCAGCTATCTACTAATGCAACACATGCACGCGCGCACACACACATATATATGGGAAATAATATCATGTCATCATGCCGTTATAATATAATGAAACCACACTTCTAGAAAACCCTGTTTGTGGTATTTGTATGACTAAAATTTTTGCACACACACCCTTTTCATCTAAATAATCAATCTAAAAAACAAAATTTAATTTGCACCTAATATATAGTCAAAATGAGTCCCCTCCAACAATGAATCTAGATCGTTCATTTGGCGAGTTTCAAGATCTAGGCCTTTATGAACTCAAAATCAAAATTTTTTTTTTAAAGTTGTTAATCTAATGATAATAAAGTTATCTAAATAATTTAAAAAGAAAAAAGATCCTTCTAAAGCTTAGATCTAAATATCTCACCAAAATGGACGGCCTATGTTAATTGAGCTAAAAAACACTTTCTCAGTTGTGTTTTCAAATTTTTCTTTTCTTGTAATTGTTCATTAGAATAAAAAGAGTGTATATTTTAAATGTCAAACAAATGGCCATAACATGGTTTTTGAAGATCGTTTCATTATTACTATACAACCGTTACATAAAAATCACACCTCTATATATCTGTATATATATATATATATATATATATATATATAGAAAGGCTGAGGTTAGCCCACTAGCTCAGAATTATATAAGCCCAAAACCCAGATTGAATCTGAACCGATTTGATGGTCATGACCTCATTTTGTATTTAAATTTTATTTTATTTTTAAACTCTAAATCACTTGAGCTTTTAGACGTGTATTATTTAAAACTAAAAGAATCTAATAAAAAATCAAAAAAATAATTTACAAAAAATAAATTGACCAAAATACCCCTAAAACTTTTCAGGGGTATTTTGGTCAATTTATTTTTCACAAATTAATTTTTTTTAATATTTTTATTAAGTGTGCTTTGATGAGAAGAATGGACGCCTAAAATTTCAACTCATTTGGATTTGTAGAATAAAAATTAAAATTCAAATATGAAATGTAGTCGTGACCGTCAGATCGGCCCACAGATTGTTTGGCTCATATAGGGGTGGCAATGGACTCGGACTCGACCCATACCCGCCGGGTATTCCCAACACGGGTCCGGGTATGGGTCCAAGTTTTGGACCTGTGGGTAGGGTCCGGGTCCAATAAAGGATACCCGGATAGTCCCGGGTCCAGGTCCTGCTATACCCAACCTGGCAGGTACCCTGACCTGAATATTTAGTTTACCCAAAGGCCAAAGCCCCAACCCAAAGGCTAGTTCCCCAAACGGCTAAACTCCATCGCCAACCTCCCTCTCTGCAATTCTCCCTCTCGTTTCTTGGAGACACAACTCTCTCTCTAGATCTCGAATGTCTTTCTCTCTTTAATTGCCCACCCCTCAAAAATTAGTTCTTTGGTTTTCACCATTGTAGGCTACAAAAAAGGAAGCTCATAATGAGGGTGGCAATGGATTTGACCAGACCTGGGACCCGACAGGTACAGGTATGGGTCCAACTTTTGGACCCAACGGGTCGGGTCCGGGTCCAAAACCTGGACCTGAATTCGCGTTCGAGTGGACCTGACCCATACCCGACCCATTGTCACCCTTAGCTCATATGTAGCAGCGAGCTAAACTCAGCTTTTCCC